CACACTGTTCGTTTTTTAACCAGTATCAATTTCCTAATCCAACTGGGTTGACAGATAAACGGAATATTGCTGTCTGATATCGTTGTGGATAACTATATTTATTATCACTACCACTCAAGACTATGACTACCGCAAATGTTTTGTGAAACATCACTTATCCTATTATATAATACTACCAAAATTTGCAAACTTTCCTATTATTACAGCCTACTTAATTTTATTAATCATATATTTTTTTATTTTTTTATGGGATCTGTCATTCACCTTTCAGGACAGTTGAATTTTCTTAAAATTTCAGAGGGGGCTGCAGCCCGCTCGGCCACCCCTATAAATACCCCTGTAAATAATAATACCTACAAAGAATAATATTATCTTTGTTGTCGCCAAACACAAACATGAACACAAATAGTAAATCCACAAATAAAATAATAAATAATTATGGGGATGACCACATTTGAATTATATAAAAAAAAAAATTATACCGTTCAACTCATAGATTATAATATACTATTTGTATAAAGTTCAGCTATATTGTGGTAGTCATGATAACGGAGGTAATCTTGGGTGGTAGTCGCGATAATAGCCGTACCCTCGTATAGCAGGAAAATACCATTTTGGTAGTTAAAGAAAACAGGATTGTGATGTTGTCAGAAAACAAGGTAGTCTCGTATAACAGGAAAGCACTAACTAAAACTACAATATCAAATATTGACATTGTAGTTGTATAAATTAATATACTGCACAGAACTAAGTGGTATAATAAATTGAATTAACATATTAATGTTATCACTGTTATCACTTTGCATCTATATTGTAACTATAAGTTAGGTAATATTGATTTTTAGTAAAAGTTCATAACACTTAGTAACCTAAGGGCCAGTTGTACCGTCTATGATTATGGTTAATAAGAGTTTAATCGGCCGAATTTGCCCGTTTAAATATCTGTTATCAGCTGATTAAGCTTAATCATAGTTTAATCGTAGAAGGTACAACTGGTCCTAAGTCAACTAATAATCAAATACCTAAAAGCATAAATTACATTCGAGTAAAAAAATAATATTTTACCGAGTTAAGTCTTTCAAAAGGTCTGTGTGGACCTCGGTTCATTGGTGAGCCTCCACCTTCTGGGCCTTCTTCATAACCTGGCCGTGTAGTATTATAATAATAACCACCACGACCACCTCGTCCTCTGGCACTTGTACTACCTCCACGAACTTCAATATTAGCAGTACCTCTGCCACCAGTTGTTCGAACAGATGCCCTGATAATGGTATCACTATTTATACCTCGATTCCAAAGTCTCTGAAAACATTAAAATTATAGTTCAGTATAGAGATTTAATTTTTTTATATATATTAAGTATAATAACATACAGTTTCTTCTTCAGACATTTGCTGTAGAGACAATGGATTTTGAGGTTTGTCATTATACACCATAGACAGTTCCTTAAGCGATTCTGGTGGAATATTACATGATGAGATATCAAATAAGGCTAACATTTCTTCTCGGCCATAACGATGTTCAGCAAGCTGTGGTTTTGATATGCCTTGAGACATATTTCTTAACCTATTTCGTAAATAGTTACATATGTTAATACTTGATACATTTATCAAATTGAATTATCAACCAATTTAAACAAATCAATAATATCATAACACTCAAGTTATTTTAGTAATCTAAAATCAGTAGCACAATTATGTATTAATTTCAATGAAAAATTGTGTTGATATTTAAATTACATTTAACTATTATTAAATTTTGATTAACTTGCAAGGGAAGATATAAAACGGTGAATGGTAATTACAGAGATGATTAAGTAAGATTTAGAAAGCATTTACAATTTATTATATATTATTTCTGTTAAGAATGAATTAACATGGATAATGCAATAATGATAAAAAAATATAACAAACATAAATAATAATATTATGAAAACAATTATTCATCATAAAATATGAAATAAATTAGAAAAGTTTTAATAAAATGTACACAAAAAGGTAACTGAACATTTAAGCAGAATAATCAAATTATTTTTTAAGTTATTGTAAATATTCATAGCTTAAAGAAATTGAAAATATTAGGTAAAAAAAAAAAAAGCAAAGCATGTACAGTAAGCAAATAACAGTTAATTGTTTGACATAACAAAACAAAAAAAAGTTAAATATATATTATTATATTAGCATTACACTTGAAGAAATTAAATTAATGGTTCATACAAGTTAAATAAATATATAATTCTTATAGATTTTAATCAGTGACGGTTTCAATATTTTACCAGTGTATACAACTACAAAGTATAATATAATTTCATAATACTTTAAGATGACAAATATTGAAACTTGAAATATATAAAATGAAGGTTCTGAATGATTGCCAAAGAATTACCATTTCCTACCTATAGCCAACTAGTTTTAACAAAATAAAAATTAATTTGTTACAAATTCTACTGTAAATATCATTTATAGTTAATGGAGATAAAACATAATAGATTTATTTTATCCATGTAGATTAAGTACAATCAAAAGAATTTTTTTATAATTTTCAACTTTGAGTAGCTGTGACCATATGTATAACTAGAATGATTTTAATAGGTACCAGAAAGTTTTTGAACACTAGTCAATTTGTACGGTTGGTTCTTTCATAGAATGAATAAGCTAGGTAATAATCTAAAAATTAGAAAATCTAGTCTTGGAATGAGGACTTTTGTACAAAAGGTAATTAGTAATTATACCTAACAGTTTTATAATGAATCAAATCGACACTTATAATATTTTAATATACTAGCAGATGAAAAATTACTAAGGGAAACGGTGATTGCGAGATTTGTTACATCAAAATAAAAATAAGAGCCACATGCACTACAGTAGAATTTGCACTGTGCAATTAATAAAACATTGAATCATTGAGGACAATCGAAGTGCACAATTGCAAATGTTGGAAAATAGGAGATGATGAAATAAGTAAAATAAATAGAAAACATTAAACATAAAACCTAGACGTGCTTACCACTCTGGACCAAACTTTATGGAATCTGTCATGATTTCACCTTTTTTTTAAAAAAAAAAAAGTAGTATGAACGCAAAACGCTGGAACAGAAAAAAAGGAGGATTCGAATATTAATTAAGAGTTAAGTAACACCAAACCCACATTAAACCTGTTGATCGTTTTTGACAAGGCAATAGAGTCACAATACACACACATACACACACACGAGTGTATTCTCTAAAATTGTAGTGTGGTGTGTAATTCGAGAACGAGAATAAAAATTATAAGACGAATGGTTTCCGACAAAAGGAAATTACAATATCACAAGGAAACAACTGGAACACGGCGAACGGCAATGAAAACAATTGTAGGGATGCCCACGATAAATAATTGTTAAAAATATTTTTTTATTATTATCAAAAACGAAAAACGGAACGTGTATAGGGGGGGTCCGAGGGATTTGAAAAATCAAAAAGTTGACCGTCTAACCTTTGGCTGTGTGCGGCAGAGACGGCGACGGCTGCACGGGAAAGACAATCGGCGAGACGGGTTGCGTACAGGACACTCGGGAAAATAGCGCTGATGTCTGATGGACATTCAAGAACTCATGTACAGGTAATGCGGTTGCAGCGGCGGCAGAGAGAGCAGTGGAAAAATAATAATAATACACTACACGCAGCACACATACACGTACATGTATATACATAGAATATCGAGTGACAACAAAGCAAACATAACCTAACAAACGCGCGGCCGTAAGGGAGACGGGACGTCCCACGTCCACCGCACGCACTTGCGTCAGCCGCCGCCGCCGAAATCTGTTCCCGTTAATCGACAACCGTTGCAACTTGCGGCCTGCAGCTGCAGTCGGTCGTCCGCGATTCGCGACGGCAGAGTACGGGCACCGTCATGGCCGCTGGAGATTCGAGGAGACCCGAGATCCCGGTCCCTAAACGGCCAGTGCCTAGTGTACACAAGTGACGAGGACACTGCGACGATTCACAATATTAACGACGATATCGTTATTCGCGCCATACAGCAGCGGATCGAATTCGTTTTGTCGTCTGTCGGTCTGGAGCGACCGTAGTGTACCCCTTGTTTGTTATAATATTATTAATTATGATTATGATTATTATTATTATTATTATTACATCTACACTGCTGTTATTGTCGCAAATTATGCGTGCAAACGGTAAATATTATACAAGCCGTACCTGAATTAATATAATCCGGAAACGGGACAAACGACAGCGGTATGACTGGCGTAGGTGCACAGTGGTCTCGTGTGTAGAGAGGAAAAAAAACGATTACGTATTCCGTCTGTGCTTAGTGCCAGCGTATTATGTAAATAAAATGAAAAGTTCATCCACGTACGAGATGTACAAACTTATATATATAATACTATATACACGTCCTATATATAAATTGGTACGTTTGTAGATCTGTGATGGGACATGATACGCGAGCGCGTGTGTGATACGTATAAGGTGCAAATCGTCATTGAATATCGCGGTGCTGGTTGGTGAGAATGAAAAGCGGAAGGGACGAAATCATACGACGATGATCCCGTCCTCCAATCGACGCGCGGTCCTTTTGTTTATGTTCTAACAGCTGCTTCTGCTGCTGCTGTTCGTCTGCTGACCACCTGCTCGTGTAGATTGCGCCCCGGACCGTCGACGAACCATATATTATTAATTGTTATCACATTATGGGTCGTCGAAGCACGATGTTGATAATAATAATATTATTATTATTGCTTGTGTACGGTGTACTGTACCTGATGGCTGATATTCGTATTTCGTGGTTTTGTCTTTTGAGGTTAACTCGAACGCTACTCGTCCTCACTCATCACGTCGTCTTGACGGCTCTCGCATTTTGCAACGAGCACTCCGCGACTAAGCGGTAAGTGTCCGCTTCCACTATTATTGTTTCATATGCAATAAACTAATTGGTGCAATTCGTGTGTTTAGGTTTTTTGATTTTCAGACTTCGTTCCAGAGAAGCGGTGATACGCAATGGCTTTGCCAAAAACGAGTAAGTTCTACCCAAATGACTATGACTTATTAACTGAAGATTTTGTTATCCATTAAACAACTTTAAAATCTGTCTGTAGGGAAACAGTCCAAACGTTTGAAATGCAGGACCAAGTACAAGGTTGCCAAGAAAGTACGAGAGCACAATCGAAAACTCAAAAGAGTTGCAAAGAAAAATCCGAAAAAAAGTGAGTTCCAGCTCAAATAAATATAGTAGTGTAACATACTTATAAGGGTTGCCAGAATTTGAAATTGCCAAACAGGGACATTATATTGAAAACTTTTTTCCAAAAACAAATTTTTTTTTTTTGCTTTTATGGAAATAGGTATATATCCTTATTTTATTTAAATATTTAGATATTAGCCAATACAATTTTTTTACATTAACTATCTACTATTTTTATTACTTACTACTTATTACTAATATTGATATTTTTCATTTGAATGAATTTTTTTTATAAAATTCTTTACAAGATAAATAATTTTACACGCCATTATAGTCTGTTCATTTTAAGAAGCGATTCAGGCGGCCACTAGTAAAACCGGTTTTCAAGCGTAAATCAGGTCGCTTCTTATTTTGAACAGGGTATAGACCTCGTTGAGTATGTTCATTCATCCTTCTCCTAATACTAAAGGATAATCTTATAATGATAAAGTGGATAATATTATTATTCTATGTTTTATTTTTGAATAATACATTAATAGGTACAGCATTAAATTTATTTTCTCTCAGCTTCTATTAACAGGGAAAAATGGCAACTCTACGTATAGGTATATGATATTTTGTGGCTCGTGTTAGCTATTTCTGAGACCTCGATTTGGATGCTGCTTATTTTAGCATTGTGTATAACCAAAGCTGGGCACTAAGTAGTAAGAAAGTTAAAGTTAAGTTAGAAAGTTACATTTTATGTAACTTTCTAAGTTAACTAGTTAGTTTTAATTCATAATAACTTTGTAACTTAACTAGATGAATTTAATGTGTAAAATAGTCTAATCTAACTCGTTAGAAAAAAAACTAACTACCTAGTTATTATTTTTTTTTTCATTCTAAAATTCCAAAAGCTGTTCCTCAATCATGACATTATGGCTATAGGTGTGCCTATATATGCCTATATAGATTATATTGGCTCATATATTATATTATTAATTATTAGTATTTATAATAATGCACGCATAGGAACCACGGCTTTTTCGCGTAGTCTATAGAATGTTGATATCTACTATATGTAGATATAAGTAGTATCTATACGGATGGCTTAAAAAATAATAAGTGTAGACATGATGCCGAATTTTTGTGGTGGTGTATCGGTGGTTTACATTTACCTGTTTATCTATATAACTATTTTAATATTACAGTATTACCTATATTTAAGATTTAATAACTATATTATATCACAATATCATATAGAATATAATATTATGTATTATTATTTAATATAAATATTTTAGGTTTTCATACTGTAATATATATTTTTTATTTTGTTTCACCCTTTATGTTCTAATAACTGATAAGTGATACCTATACCAATTAATTGAAATTATTATTCACCTAATTAGAACATTTTGATCAAATTTCTAGGGGTTTAATTCAATTTTTCAGTTTTAATCAATAATTTAATAATAGATAACTTATTATTTACATTTCAATAAAAAGGTTTTTTAATCTATAAAAAAAAACTAACTTCTAACTTCTCTAACTTAAGTTGCTATTTTCACCAAACTAAGTTAGAAATTTGGACAGTTTCAGAAACTAACTTATATTCTAACTCAGTTAGTTTTTTTATTAAAGTAACTTAACTTCAACAAGTTGAAAAAAATGACTAACTTGTCCAGCTTTGTGTATTACCTACTGGTTATTTGAAACATTTAGCAAATAGTACAGTATTTTCTTCCTTTGACATAAATGCAGTTTAGCTCCTTTTTTTGTTTTAAACTTAAAGCATAAATTATACTTACTTGTTTTTAATTGTTTACAATATATTTGATAGGACCTATATGTCTATTATTTATATTTTTTGTTAAAATGATTCAATGTTAATGCAGAAACTTATACATGTTTAATTTAATTTATTTATGCGTAGAGACCAAAAATAGTATGATTATTGCTCCAAACATGTGTCCATTCAAAGAAGAAATCATTGAGCAACTTAATGAAGCTAAAAGAAAAGAGCGAGAGATACGTTTGTCAAATTTTAATTCAATGGAAACACAATCTGAAGAAGAAACTAAAAAGAGTACTGAATCAAAATTGCCTTTTAGACAAAAATGGCTTTTAAAAGAAACTAGAGCAGACCGATATATTGAACACAATTATAAAAATGTAAAACTAGTTATATAAATTCCAACTACCTATATGTATAGTTTATTAATACCCATGAATAAATTGATGTCTGTTTCAGATAATTTCATTGTGTGATGTAGTTCTAGAAGTTTTGGATATTCGTGATCCATTAGCTACTCGTTCTAAGGAAATAGACGATTATTTAACGGCCAATCCAGATAAAAAACGTATTATTTTGTTAAATAAAATCGATTTAGTGCCTAAAACCATAGTAACTGATTGGGTAGAATATTTTAGCAAGATAGCACCAACAGTGCCTTTCAGAGCCAGTCGTGAAGTACGAAATACACCAAAAACTAGTGCAAAAGATCCAAATTTTATAGCAAGAATAAAAAAAAAAGTAGCCAATAGATGTTTTGGTGAATCTGTTGTATTAAACTATTTACAGACTTGTATAGATGCACCAATCTTAGGTATTACAGTTGGTGTTGTTGGTATGCCCAAGGTGGGAAAATCTTGTGTTGTAGATACCATTAAATGGAAATATACGATTGGTGATGAACCTGTCCCATCAAAAAAGAATCAGTGAGTATTATTAATTTTTTACTAGTAATAGAAATTAATGGTAGAATGTTTACAGATCAGTAGGAGTATTTCCTTTCAATAATATAAAAATTGAATTATTGCCATGGAAATGTACTGGAGCTAGTACTATATTGGACAAGCCCAGTGATAGTCGTTTATTATTAAGACAGGCATTACAAGTAGAGCTTCAAAATGTAGCCCCAACCAAGATATGTGCTTTAATATTACCTTACATTAAAAAAAATCAGGTTTGTGAATATAAATCAATTTATCTATAACTGATATCTGTTTTATGAAAATTTTGTTTTATTTAGTTAAAGTTATTGTATGACATGAATGTAGAAAATACTGAAGATTATACACACATACTTGAAATGAAAGCAAAACGACATAGCTTAATAAATAGACAAGGAAAACCAGACCAACTTAATGCAGCCAAATCTTTCATGAAAGATTTAAAGGAGTAAGTGTTATTCTTAATTTGAATTGAAAATATTACCTAATTTCTTTGAAATTTAATGAAAATCGACATTATTTTATAAGTTTAAGAATATCCTAGTACCTCAAGGTAGGTTTATATTAAAGCCTGAACTCGAATGAAAGCAAGCAAATGCTACCTAACAAACCAATGTAAATGATCTAGCCTAACACGAACAAATGCACTTTTTCACGTTTGGAAATGATCACTCCAAAGACAGTCTGATCAAAGCATTTGAATTTGTGAGGTAGCATTCGCATCATTCATTCCTGTTTGTGCTCTTATATAAACCACTTTTAAACAATATCTTTGGTATTTGACCTATGATTCTTCTTTGATTTAAAACTAGGATAAATTCATAGTAAATGGTCGATTAAAATAAAAAAATAATGACAATACATTGTCACTAAAACGCGCTTACACTATAGATATAACAATAACAAACTAATCAGTATGTCATCATTATATCATATATGTACCTGGTAAATTTTTTTATTATTTCCTTATGTATTAAATAAGGCATTAAGGGGATTCCACACTATCCCTTTTTAGAGTAAAATAGACCTATACGCGTTCCAACGTACTAACTTGAGTTTTACTCCTATAACAATTTTGAAAACATATTTTAAAACTTTATGTCAATAAAATTTTATGAATACAATTTTTTTTTTAAGAATAACAATTTAAAAATGTGGCTCAAAGGATCCAAAGTGATTGAATAACAAAAAAAAATTTGTTTTCAAAATTATTATTGGTGTAAAACTCAAGTTGGTATGTTGGAATTCGCTTAGGTCTATGATTCACAACATTTCGCCATGAAATAAATTTGTTGTTAGGTATAATGTGAGTGTGGGACGGCAATGCCTATCCTAGCTCTCTGTCGGTTACTTTCACTAATGATCATTTACTACACACACACATGCACTTCACGCACGCACATGCTATACAGATTGTCTATACTCACTCCTAAAAACGGTCGGTATGGAATCCCCTTAATGATCATCAATATTTTTAAAAAAAACATATTTAAAATTAAATTTAATCTACTGCATATGTTCTCATTTACCTAATATTTACTATTATGAATTTCAAACATTTATTCCCTCTGAATAGAGGACACAATTTTGACTAGATATGTTGTTTTATAAAAAAAAAAATACAAGTGCGTAACAAAGTAATCTCAATACATAATATAGATTCATAAGAAATAAAAACATTTTGAAGTATTATTTTTTTCTTGAAAATCTCAGTCTTGTTAACTTGTAATATCATATTGTTATGGCTGTAAATTAATCCTTGTTGTGTGTTACTTTTAATTATTACAATTTATTAATGTTAAAAGATTTGATGATTCCTATTGTAAATTATAATGATAAAAGTCAATAGGTAATTAAAAAGAGCATATTTTAATCAGTAAAACAATAAACTGCGTACAGATACAATTTGTACTTTGTTACATTTCATAGGTTTAGTCATGCCTCGCACAACCTCCAGTTATTTAATAATATATATTTTTTTAGCGGAACATTACTGTATTACACGCGGCCACCTGTTAAAGAAGCCTCAGGAACACCAATGTCTATAGACCAGGAAACAAATTCATATTGAAGATATGAGCACAAAAATAAGCAAAGGTCTATCTCATTGTAGGGATAGAGCTAGAACTCTTTATTTTGATATGACCGATTCATAATGATAATTGTTAAAACTATTTTTTCTTTTTTTGTTATTTTATTATCAATATTTTCAAAATATACATATATATTTTAATAAAGTAACAAATATCTAGACATTTCTTAATTATTTATAAAATAAAGCTACATTCATGAGTGGAATAGTGTTCCTATGTTTCTTATTATCAATGGAAATTGTATTCTATCGGTTGCTGGTTATTAGCCATAATTAATTATTTCATAATAATATATTCATCAGTCTTATAGCTACTTAATATTCTTATTGAGTTATTGAAATATCTAAATTAAATCATCATTGATGTTTATTACAAAAAAAAAACAACAACAATCTACAATTTTTCAACTAGATTAAACAATATAAAACAAGTTCCATAGGACCTACAATTTGTAATTAACATACAAGTCAATATTCATAATAAACATAATACTCAAATAATATTAAATGGTAAAATAAATGTTGGCACAACAATGTGTAAATAGGTGGTTATTTTTATAAAAATACTTATAACTACTGTTCTTAATATTTTAATGTTCACTACACGTCATTGGTTCAAAATATCTACAATAGTTAAACATAATATTTAATAAAACTAATAAAATGAAAATAATCTATGTTCATACTTCATAGACCATAGTTACTATACTGTATACCAGGAATGGCCAACCCGCCTTGGAAAGTTTTGCGGCCCTCGACATTTATCATATATTTACAAAAAAATAATAATTAATACACCAAAATTATTATATAGTAATAATTAATTTTGTTTATAATGTTAACTCCATTTTTTCGTATTGGGGCAAAATACTTTTATAATTTTATATGTGACCTAATTTTGAATAGTAAAATATGTGATTTTATTAATATTTTTTACTGGTGATGACCTTTTTTTTTTTTTGGCAACCCTATATGTGGCCTGCAGGATTGTAATGTATTTTCAAAGTGACCCGCAAGATCATTTGGTTTGGCCATCCCTGCTGTATACAGTGTACATACAAATTGTAAATATTTTCTTAAAACTAAAATGTATGACAATTAATTTTACAACAATTAAAAGTGATAACTAATGAATGAATATTATATTCTAAATAGTGTCTATTTGATACTAACATTGCCCAATTTCTGTGCGTTTTACAACATTAAGGCCGCTTATTATGAATATTGTTATGATACAAAAGTGACCAATAAGACATATGATACCAAACGTCTTATACATTTTGAATCCATTCGCTGCTGCTGCAATGTTCAGCACGATCACACTGATTATTAAACATATGCAGTTAAAAAATAAATCATTGGTTTCCATCAAAATAGGTCCACCGTTCATGGAGATCGGCATAAGACATTTGATAAACCACGGCAAGCCCAAGCATAATAATATATCCAATGTGTTGGCACCTAACGCGTTGCTGATGCTCATCGATCCCTCGCCTAGTGCATTAAGTATAATATTAGAACAATGAACGAATACTTATAATACTAATATGACTATGTAATTTGTTGTAGTTAGTCTTACCGTTTCTGGCATTTATTATACCCGAAGTGGCTTCAGGTATACTGCCTCCAGCCGCCAAAACGGCTATGCCCATCACAATGTCGCTAATATGAAATGTGTCTCCTGTATAATATTAACAATAGAAAGTGTACTGTGAATTATTATTACTGCAACCAAAATCGTCAATACAATAATAATATATAATAACTGTCCAGTGGCGTAATTTGGGGAGGGGGTATGCCTCTGTGTCCACAATGTCACGGGATACCTACGACACTCAAATCCCCACTCCGTAATTACAACACTGTCATCAACTCTATGTACTCACCGCATATCGACAACATCCAAGACACTATGTACGAACTGATGCCTATCCAAATTATGCACATGATGAACGTGAACGGGTACACCTTTCGCCTCGTCCGACAATCCGGTACTGTTACCGACAACATGAATGCTACTGGTAAGGAAAATGCCCACCACATGATGGGCAATACGCCTGTGGGTACTTTCCATATGGGGGAGACTGCAAATGTACGTTTGAATATTAGGTTTATTATAGATATACCCATTGGCCATTATTACTTATTACGTAGGGGTATAGGTATAGGTACCTAACTACCTTTAAAAACCCACAGATTACGATTTACGGACAGTGTTATTCAGGGGCGTCATTTCGAAATGTTTATGGGAATAAGTGGCCCTGTAGGGCTCGGAACTTAATGCACTTAAAAAGTACTAAATATACATGCACTTATGCCCTTGAAAAGTACAAAATATATGCACTTATTTTTGTTTTTATTCACAATTTTCGTAAATACAAATATTTATTGAAAAAAATGGGAAATTGTACGTCAACTAGGGGGATTTTTAAAACACGATACAATATAATACCTATATTGAAGAAAACTCAAAAAAAATATTCATTATAATGTATTTATTTCCAAATTTTAAAATTGTATCATAAACTTAATATCATTATTCATCAAATATGCGCTCTAAAAATATATGCTAGTTTTAAGAAATGCTCTCAAAATCATAAAACCGCTTAAATAATATGTAAAAATATGCACTATGAACTTTAAATAATTTTTTTCCGTTGTGTCATGAAAATAATGTCATGCTTACTTAGCAATAAATCTTATAGGCAATAGCCGAAAAGAAACCACTTCCGAGCCCTATAAAAAACATACAAAATAATTTATTCCTGAGGCCATTATAGTGCCATACTAGTTAAATATTCCGGGTATCTATATATTTTTGAAAACTTTTTTTTAATATTTTGTATTTAAAAATATGGTGTGGACTTAGCTATCTATAGTGACATCTCAAGTTGTACAATAGATTTATTCATAGGTGAATAATGTAATATTACAGTAGTAGGAGGTATACCTACCTATATAAAATAAACAGTTTCTTTTTTTCAATCCGTAGATTGGCTCATTAATGAAACAGTATATTGTGTGGATGATATATAATAATAATATGCAATGTGTCCCGTGAAGAAGTGACCAACCGGCGTCTTATGATAGTATAATATCTTAATTTATGAAAAAACCCTCTTTAAAGGGTGGGTCTAACTTTCTTATTGTTTTAGTTAAGGGCAGTTCAACTTTTTTTTAAACAAAAGTCCTGCAACCTACAGCACATTTGCTGATCTGTATCTCTAAGAGGACGCCACACCCGCATGTGTTGTCTCCGTCTTACAAATGTACAACATAGCAAAAACTCTTTTGCGAGGGACAACTTTTCTCTCACCGTATTTGTTGTAGAACTACCAAATTTTCACAGCACTTAAAGAAGAACTTTATCTGTGCAACAGCGTGCTCTTTTTTTCAATAACATATATACAATACAAGTTATTTGCTTCTAAACATTTGGTTTTTTAATTTGCTTATAAAAAATGATTGGATGGTGCTATTGAAAAAAAGAGCACGCTGTTGCACAGATAAAGTTCTTCTATAAGTGCTGTGAAAATTTGGTAGTTCTACAACAAATATGGTGCGAGAAAAGTTGTCCCTCGCAAAAGAGTTTTTGCTATGTTGTACATTTGTAAGACGGAGACAACACATGCGGGTGTGGCGTCCTCTTAAAACTTTTCAACTTGATATCGTTTTTTTTTTTTTTTTTGAAGCTATTTTACTGTGCTATCAACTAACATAATATTATACAATAAAACCAGAAATGTACAAATTATTTGTATTCAATTAAAAAAGTAGAAATCTGTAGATTAATAAAATTTAAAAAAAAACTTTAGTAAATAGGACGTTATTTGGAGTTATACACGATTTCCTTATAAAAATGCTGATTTTTGCTAACTATTTTTTGAACTATTTAATTTAATAAAAATAATTTGTACATTTTTGGTTTGATTGTGTGTGTTAGTTTTGTAAAATTTGGTTTATAAAAGTGATTATCAATTTCAATAACAAATCTTTGAAATATAAAGAGCATCCGTGAAATTCAAATGCATAGGTAGTAGGTATACCCTTGCGACCAGAAAATCGCAAATGACGCCTCTGTTTATAACATGACTAGACTAAATAAATTATTTAGTCTTGGGTTCACCCCTCGTAATATGACGATATCACCGTTATTATAAATAATAATAATGATAATAATAATAATAATAATTACTCGGTTCTTCGTCGTCCATTATTTCATTGGGATTCTTGCTTGTCTGACACTTTTTTGGCTGTGGAGGCGGTACATACTCTGTGAAGTAGAATGAACGGTAAACGCCGTAACCAATGTCGAAAGCCGGTGGTTTCATCGAGTTCGTAGCTATATAATATTCAAACATAGGTATACAATATGTGAATCCTAAAGGGTGTAGTCTGCATAATAACAAAACTTGAAGTAGCTCTGTTGTGTAGATTAGTTAGGTACTGAATTGTGAAGACTTAATATAGGTACATTAGAAATAGATAAGAATATTACAGCTTTCTTCAAATTTTGATTTATATTGCTCATGCGCATGCATATTATTGTTCTCGTTATTCAAAGCTAATTCAATTGTTTAATATTTTAACCAACCCGTTCCATATTGACATGCTTTTGCACCACTTTCAGGCAATGAAATGCTTCGACATTCATTCGAAGTAAATTTCCCATAAAACAATGCATTGATTAACAGCCGTTGAACATAATCGAAAACTATAGCCCCTGTAACAATGAATAGGTATGTTGCTAGGTACCTATACGCTATACTTACATATTAATACTAACTATATATAGGAATCAAAAGTTATTTTATTAATTTGTTTCTATGTGCGCCTATACCTACATAATATAAAGTGTACTGTTCGAAGTTCGAACTCAAGAAACAAGACATTACGTTGTATAAGTTTTATTTTAGAATTTACTAATTACTAAGTAAGTACCTAGGTGGTACCTATAAGTTGTAAAATATACTTATACATTTATTTTCAAAAAAATTTAATTAAAAAAGGGTTAAATCAGGAGATCCTATATCATACCTATTGGGTATTGGGGTGGATCGGTTTTCACCCAAAATCGACCTTTTGGTTTTGGTCCTAATTACCTTTTTTACCCAAACACAAAAAAAGAGTGGTTTGGTTTTCACCCAAAGAAATATTATTCATGAATCATAGTAAACGAAAAAACATTTTGGTTACCACTCTCTACTAATATAAAAAAACAACAACAAAATGCATTCCAGTTAAAAGTGGAGAAAACTACATATTCTAAATTAAATATACACCATAATTTCGACGATAAAGATAAGTTATAATCTATAATTTCGCTGAATATACGGAACATTATATTTCAGAAGACAGTATAGGTACTTTTCCCCCTAAGCTTTGGGCATGTAACTCTTCCTGTCATAGGCGTGCGCACGGGGGCAGCATCAGGCAGCATATGCTGCCCCTGGACTTACTTTGGGGCCACCGGGGCCGGCAAATATTAAATAATGGGCCTCGGTAAAATTATATTTCCACAAAGGATTTTTTGTTTGATAACCTATATATAAATATTTTTATATAGATGTCTTGTAGAAAAGTACACCTTAGTGGCTGAGTACCTTAATGTACCAACCTTTACTCAAAAAAACAATAAACCAATACAATTTTAATTTTTATATCCAATAGTAAAAAAAGTAAAACTATGGGCAGGTTTTAATGGTGAATTTGAAAAATGGGCTAATTAATCTCTTGCTGCCCCTGAAACCGGAGGCTGCGCACGCCTATGCTTCCTGTCTTAGGTTAACTACAAATTAATGCTAATCATTTCACTCGTACCTAAATAAAAATGTCAATACAAAATTACCGTCATGCCATGGTTGAATATTATTCTCACCGCTCAAGTCAAAGTGTTAAAATTAATAGTGCACATATTTTGAAAATTTCAAAAGAATACAAACGATAAAAAATTAATCAATCAAAAATTACGAAATACAAATCTGATCGGCTCACACGATACGAATTTATAAAATCCATGTGCCATGTGACGAATAATATGATTTTTATTATTGAGTTATTTTTTTTAAGATGTTTTAAGCTTATAAACTAATGTTTTATTAATATGTTTTATTAATGTGTTTTAATAGACACATTTAAATTATTAATAATTTTGTAACCAAAATGTTTTTTCGTTTCCTTTAAATAATATTTCTTTGGGAGAAAACCAAATCACTCTTTTTTGTGTTTGGTTAAAAAAGGTCATTAGGTTAAAAACCAAAAGGTAAATTTTGGGCGAAAACATGTACGGCAGGGTATTGTCTATACGAGTATACGACAACTGACAATAGGTCATAACTACTATATTTGTCTTTATCTCTAATTTAATAGGTATAGTGGGATCGTGGACCTCTATATCTATTATGTCTGGTGATATATTACATAGATTATTAGACGATTTAAACCAAACCATACAAACGTGATGTTTATATTATCATTTATGAAAAGCTGAAGATTCATTCAATTCATAGGTTAAAAAATGAAGCGCAGATTCAAATCCAGCCACCTATAATATGCACTTGTATAACCAATGTTATAATTTACAGGGTGATTCATCCAGCATGCTCAACAACAATTTTTCCTTTAATAGTAAATGTTTTTAAATTATGATTTTTGGAATTTTTAAATACACTTAAAGATCAGGGCCGGATTTAGGGGAGGGCTGAGTGGGCAGCAGCCCAGGGGCCCCCACAAATTCGGGGCCCCCACAATTTTATGATATTCAAATTAGAATACAGAAAAAATATTTTATTTATATTTACACATATTTAATTAAATAATATTGAACTTTTTTTGGACATTTAAAAATTTTTATTTTACTAACTAATAATAGATGTATTTACGTTTATTGACAATGAATGGTCTCTAAAAATCAAGATAAGATAGTTCATGCCGTCCGCGATCGGTGTGCACCGTCGATTGTAATAATATTAGTAAATGTGATTCTAGATATACACATGTGGGTTTTCGGAAATATAAAATACACTTAAAATATATTTTATTTCATTGTTGAGAAGTATTGAAAAATAAACAAACGATTAGCGTCGTCCGTAAACAGTTTAAATACGCATAAAAAAAATTAAAAAAAACAATTACTGGTAGATAAGAGTACGGTTGGGTTTCCACTACTACAATGTAAAATAAATAGTCTAAAAATAAGTATATTTCACTTTTTTTTTTTTCAACGTGTATTAGACGGGACTCGGATGTCCCGCCAGGCCAGAACATAACGATATCTAATAGCATATATTTTCTATTACCGATTAAAGTGTCCGGGACTCAAACGTCCCGCTAGTACCGAAAGGGTTAAAAAAGTCTTATCAGTTTAATTTCCATTAGATACATATTTTAAATATTTTTTAAACTTCAGTCATATCAAATTGCTCTACCGCCTCAACTAGTAACTATCGCCGAAAACCCTTCAATAATAAATATTATTCAATAAGTAAAAAAATATATTTCCTTGTTTATTTATAAGGGGCCCCCACAGTATATTCCGCCCAGGGGGCATCACATACCTAAATCCGCCCCTGTTAAAGATCATAATTTCAAATTTTTGAAATTGTTTATAGGTACCACTTAAAAAGTGACCCGTAGTATTCCAACCTTCGTTTTTCATTTATCGTCAACCCTAATTTTTTACTCTAAATTGATTAGTAGTTCATATTGTTTTGAAAATTTACCTACCCAAAATAAGCGAGTAGGTATAGTTCCTCAGTTACCTATTAAAATATTTATGCTAAGGACAATGGACCCTAAAAATGATTTTATAAAAATATAAAATATATTCTTTTATATTGGATCTAGTATTAGATATCCTTGGCCCTTGGTGCATTTTTACAAATTATAAAATTTGTTGGTAGATTATTAATATATGTATTAATTACATTAATTTTCAAATCACCATAGCTCCCATATATCCTAACCTGCACATTATCATATTCCTGTTATTATCTTTGATACACAAAGTTAAATAACTTAAAAACTACTCGTTCAAATATTGATTTAAACAGGTATGTCGTCATTTTCAAAAAAATGACTTACTGAATAATTTACATTAGAAAACGGGATTTCTTTTTTGAAAAATAGTAGTTTGTATCTACACAGTCCACAGGATACTCCTTTATAGTATTACAAAAATTCTCAAGAGTTTTAAAAGATGGTCTTTATGTTTATTTAAAATTTACAAAAATCAGATTTAGAATAACTGCATCATTGAAGAAAATAAGAGGTTGAGCTTCTGTTCCAATGTATCGCCCTGTAAACTACCTACAGTAGGTAAGTTACGGATGTCCAACTTCGCGTGTCTTAAGAAATCTATATTAAGTTATAATCACATGACATATTATTATAACTAACTAACAATGATATTATAATATTCAGATTTATATAATTTCTCATATTATATTACTCTAGACACCACGGGTATTTTTTACAACAGTTATTAAATTACAATAATAACTTGACAAGTAATTTACTATAAGTAAACAATATTATATTATTAATATTGAGTATGTATTACTTAGAGACGCTAAGCCGGGCTAATGTATAGCCGTATAGGTAATATATAATAAGTAAAACACTACAATCTATAACTCCTTAGAGAGTATAAGACCCGATTACATAAAAAAGTTATTGATATTGCACTAGATTAACTCGAGGATTGGCAAACCATAAACGAACCACTAACGTCAATGCAGCCCGTGATCCATGTGATGAAATACAAACAAAACAGTTTATATTTAAAATACTAAGTGCCGCAAAATGATGACTTCTTTGTGTAAATATCCACTAAATTTTAATTGGCCAAAAAAATTTGTTTTGTACTTTTTCACCCTCCGTTAAAAAAGTTATAATAATAATAATTAATTGTTTGATTTTTTTCAAATTAAAATGTAAATTAAAAATGCTCATAACTCACTTAAACACTGAATTATCGTAAAAAAAAACCTCCTATACAAACATACATAATGTTCTTACAATCTTACCATACAGTTTTTAATCAGTTTATTGACTCTAATTTTTAAACTAACTGAGTTAAACGTTATCTGCTGCAGAGCGTAAATTTGGTATGTTATATGTAGGGCTCGGAAGTTGTTGCATTTGCATGATTTTTTTGAACCATTAGATTTATTGCTAAGTAAGCTAGAAATTCATTTCAAGACACTACGAAAAACATATCAAAAGTTTTTAGTGCATATTTTTGCATATTTAGTGACTTTTAGATTTTAGAGCATATTTCTTAATTTTACAATTTTTTAAAGCATATTTTATAATTTATGGATATTTAATATGAAAATTTGTAAATAAAAAAATAAATACATTCATATTCAGAGATCTTACTAGATATTCTTGAATCTTATTATTCAAATTTCCATTTGACATTAAAAACTATGTTTTTCCTCTATTGGTTAATATGATATTATATAAATATATATATATAAATTACAACTACAGCTAGCTTTATCTAAAATAGAATATTATACAAATCTAAAATAGAAACAGCTGCTATCGAAATACGACGATTTTCTATAAATACTTTTATAGGAAAATAACTCAATGATTATTGACTATTGTTAATGGCATTTATAGATTTTAGGTATTTCAGGTATATAAATATAACTCGACAGAAGTGCATTTTTTTATTCAAGGAACATTTTTAATTTTTAAAGCGATTTTTTTATT